TGTTGTTATAACGATTATCTAATCCCCGTTAGGGTGATAAATTCTAGATTCGTTGTCGTCGAGGTCATCTAACGGAAGGCCCAGGAAACGAGCTGTTTCGACGGGGTCGGACCATAGGGAAAGGGGTGTTAGATGAGTGGGGTTTGTAGGGCATGCAAAGAGGTGGTTAGTGTCATGCGGAGACTCATTGCATGCAGATTACACTCACTGATGGTTGGCAGTAAAATATATGCAATTAAGAAAAATCATTTGGAATCAATTACCTATGAATTGATATATACGAAAGCACCTAAAGGTACACATAAACCAAAGGAAACTGTGCTTGATATTTTAATTTCAGTAAGTATCTGTGACTATTTCGGTATATACATCAATTAGTTATTCCATTTATACCGTCGAAGAACGCAAAATAATTTACAAATCATTTTAGAGTCTACGACGCATATTATATTATTTGGACAAAAATCGCTTTCCGTACTATTGGAACACTAAAGAAAATCTATTGTTTCTCATACGAAATCATGATAGACTATGGCATACACACAGGTGTTTGCGCATATTATTGACTAATATAAGCAGCATGCGTGGCAATACCGGAGTGACATATGAAGATATTGAATCCTTTTTTGGTAGTATCATTCAAAATTACAAATGTTAAAAGTCAAACGTTTCATAATTTATTTGCAGGTGTACAGACAAACGCATATGTGTACAATGTGGATGATTTTGGTGTTTACCGAAATTTTTCTAACAATGCGTAAATAATTTTACGCTAACATTGAACTTTTGAAACCCTAAATATTTAACCTTAGAACTTCGTTTTGATATCAAATATTCTCATTTTTTATAATAATAATGCTGATAAAATGCATTTCTTATTTTCAGTACAGGTAGTATATATTCGTATATATCGTATATATAAATGCCACATTTATAGCTTGGATATGTAACCACATGACTTTATATACGAAAGTTTTTTTCGTACAAGATATTGCTTGTTATTATATGCCAAACACTTTGAATTAATAAATTCATGATTTTCGTTATATAAATTCTACATCCTGTAGCATTTGTTGGTTTTTCATACGATTGGTAATGCTGTTTTGCTGGAATTGTAGCTGTATTAATATAAGAACGCTGCTTGCAAAACAGAAAATTATGTGCAGGGAAATGGATATATCGACCAGATCAATGTCAAAACTTATTCAAGATGATATCCAAATAATGTCTACCATCGGACAACACCTTCAATAATGGTTTGGTAAGGAGTCTTTTTAAGGTATTACACCTCTTCGCTTCTGTGAAAAAGCGGTTAACACTGAGAAAAAGTTACCAGCCGGATATTATAGAAGACAAGACAAAGCAGTGAAGTAATACCCTATTCGATGGAGAGCATTGAGTCCACCAGCAAGATTCTGCTCCAGCACATAAGGCAAAACCACCCAGCAATATTTCTGTTTCATCGCTGCTGATTATTGGCCGTCTGTAAGTCGAGATCCGAATCCATCGCACTACAGTTTGTGCCAGAGTTGGAGAACATGGCCTGTCGAATATCACACAGAAATTTGGAGAGTTTAAAAATCTTTCGTTCGAGCAGCGTCGTCAATAAAAATAGAAACTTTGCGTGCTGTATTGGTCAATGACTGACTCGTTTGAGGTCTTGCGTAAATATGACCATTTCGAATAAAAGTTGTTCATCGCTCATTTAATACAATATATGCATTACTATATAAAATTAACTTTGTTAAAAATATATTATAGTTAAATTCTATAACCGCTAACTTAACTGAACTTATGACAGGACTAAGTATACACATATCTATACATAAAATATTACGTTCCGGTTTGTCGGGTAAACTCCAAACTACTGAACACATTTATTATTTATATCAATCACTTTCAAAATTAAACCTCAAGTATTGTACAATCCTCTTGGATTCTTATAACGGCAATAACGTTTTCACCTTTATTCATATATATTTTTCCACTGTATTAAATAGTTTACTAAAATCATATTTATTGTGTACCATAGTCACTAGTATATTTATATTTCAACGTTTCTTTTTTTGTTATTTCTGTAGATTCCATAATGTGGTTTGCTGAGATGACAAAGATAACCTTAATTTGATATTCTATAATTACATAACTTAGCATTTAAAAGCACACATAGTACATAATATTCATGTGCATATGCATTTACTTCATATATATATGCTTATATCATATGTTGTAAAACTGAAGTATTCTTTGAAATAAAATAAATGTTTATATGAAATATAATTAAATTGTAAGGCATTTTATCTACGGTACTAAACTGGGAAAATTTATATTGTTTGACATCACCTAACCTTAAAATCATAACAACAGTTATATACTCCAAACAATGGTTAGCTTATTTATTCCCTTTCAAAAGCGCTATCATGCATTTAAACTCTAATGAATAAATTTAATTATTTGTAACCAAGCACAATCAAAAACGCATTTTCAATCAGAAAAACATTGTTCATATATACATATACAAAAAAATCTGAAATATGAGAGGAAACTCCACTTCACTTGGCAGTTGCTAATTTAAATGTATTATTTTACAAACCATAGTCTACACTGTAGTAAATCTCTTCCAGCTGCTGGTTTTGATTTAATGTACTGTGATACGAGCAAACACTTTAAAATATAAACTTCCGGAAGGAAATATGCCGGAATTTTAAGAATTATTATGACTTAAGATGCTTATTTAAGGCATATAGTTATCGACAAAACTATCGATTATTGTATACAGCTAAGTATAAATAATTATGTATGTATTATTTATAAATAACTATTTCTAATAAAACATATAAAAAAAACTCGAATAATAATATGCAAAAGGTGACTTTTACAACTGTTGCAGATATGTTACAAATTTCGGGCTGTAAGGAAGGAATAGATCGCATAATGCATTAATGTAATCAAAAGCACACATCTTAAAATCACTCGCGTTATTAAATATTTAAAATGTATTTTCTGTTAACATTTAACATACATATTACGAATTAAAAAATTTATACAATTAATATTGCATTGTTAAATAAATACAACAAATCTAGCACAGGCACACGATTTCAAAGTCGCCTATTTTACCGTTCTACAGACTGTCATTTTAAATTTACCTTTATACGTGTTTAATTAAACAATTCGTTGTATTAGTTTTAAATATTTTCTTAACATTATAAAATAAAATATATAAAGAGCGTCTTGAACGCTTGCATGACAACCGCCGATAAACATTGCAAAACTTAGCGAAAGCTCTTCTAGTTGAAGAAGAGACAAAGCTATCTGGAAAGGATTTCGAAATAATAAGAGCTTATGTCATAGATATATTGAAAAAGATCCAATAATCGGCAAAATGCTAATAAATACAAAATATCCTGGTAAATATTTGCAAATTTTGAATATCTTCCTTCAATTATCACCTTCAATTGCAGCTAGTAACTTTAATTGCAGTGGTATTGGATCTATCACACTTTATAACACTTGGTGCAATTAAAACGAAATACCCATCGTTCATACGATTAGTTCAACGTGGACGAAATAGAGTAGATGGCACGGAGAAATTGCCATCTTTAGTACTGGCGAAAACATTGCTGGTGGTGTCATAACCAATATCGTAAAGGGGCTCTTAAAGCAGGTTTAGATTTTAGTGGTTATTTGTGCGTGGTCACTTGGGCGATATTTACGAACTGGATTTGAACGATGAAAATAAAAACGTAAATAACCAGAGTTATGATGGTAGGGACGGTGAAGCAAAATAATTATATTATGCTAAAAGCGTGTAGCGAAGAGATTACACTGAATATACGTTTACGTGTTTAATAAAATTTTGCAGCAACGAAAGTCCAAATGATTTATATCCACATCCGCGCACAATTTAAAATGATTTGGTTAGCCGCTGCCGATGTACGTATATAGAATACTTTTCACTGTGCGCACTATTAAGATGAGCGTGAATTGGCTTCTCACCAGACAATTTGATCGCATTGCGTCAGTATGCCTTATTCATCATATATTAATGTGGAGGAGGATGAAGATCGTCCGGGTTTTGTCAACTTAGATTTTGCAGATATTATGGAAGTGCTTTACAATTGTAACGGTTATACGGATGTATATAATCAATTTTATGACCTTGTTGATTGGAATAACCATTACCTTAATCGTTCGAGTCTGCAAACCTGGCTTAAAGGTGTTATGGAAGATTGCTTGGATATAAATGGTGATCGGGTGCGTGGCAATTGGGGTGATATATATACATTGATATATACAAAACGTGGACTAGCACATACGATATATGCTAAATGCGCTAAACGCGCGATTTCGATTGACTTTGTGCCGGGTATCTGCTTCGGCACTGCTGAGTGGATCGACGTCAGACATTGTCGTAAATTCAGGAATAAATGTGAACAATGGTACGCCGTTCCGAAGCCCACATCTGGCTCACAGGAGACGCGTCGCTATGCCTTTATGATATGTAATCCCAAAGTGGAGCACGATCTTTTATTGGGAAATCAGAATTTGAAAGTAGTATTTCGTCTCTTAAAATCATTGCGTAATGCATATGGCATGCGTTGTTTAAAGAGTTATTTTATAACGACTAATTTTCTATGGGAAATCGAGTTACAGCATAAGAATTTTTGGTACAACCCAATACATATTATACTTGAACATGTAAGTACAGGGCTGTTTTTTTTTTGTATATTATTTACATACAATTTGTAAAGTGTACAATGTGACAAAAAGTTTAATGTAAATACGAGAGCGATCCGTTGGGGATCTAATGTACGACAGATGTTGATAGTGGAAGAGCACTTTTTTCTTGGTCAAATGAGACCGGTTTCTTTTTTGCAATTCCACGTCAAATTGGCATAGTGGAACCTTGGTACCGTTTAGTCCTTCTCTGGCTAGTCGCTGTAGATCACAACGTTTGAATTCTATAAAGCGCAGTTCCGGCTGTTTGGAAAGTCATTTAGTGCTTCAGAGTAGGATCGCCGGGTCTAGTTCACTGTTTCAAGTTCTCTTTGGTCTTTTGTGTGTACCAGTCGATCCATGTTTTGTCGACGAAAGCACACAGTATCACCTTCTAATTGCGCTTGAATAGCGTCAAGCACTGCTGTAAGGTGGTCTGACGTTTGCGCTTATTTTTCGAAGTAAGCAAATGTGGCGACAGCTTTCTCATGTCCAATATGTTGTGCAGTGTATAACCCATATGGTCTTTTGAGCTGCCTACTGTCGCACCTTCAATCGGCGGTCGTCCAATTAGAAATTGTGAATTTTTTTTCACGTTAATTTTCCTAAACAAAGCGATCTTTAATTTAACTGCGCGAAAATTGTAAAAACAAGTAACAAATTATCAAACGATATTGCTCTTTTTCCATTATTCTTAAATCTGCGGTTGAAACAAAAAGTCTAATTAGGCTGGACACATTTCCAGCAAACTTCATACAGTAAAAGTTAGAAGAAAAATATGCGAGTGGTAGTGCAATTTTTTTCCGCCACTGTATGTACACGATTTTTTGTCACACTATTGTTTTGCAATATAGTTATTATATATATATATGCTATATATGTAATTAATAATGTACGTTTATATGCAGATGCTTGAAACTTTGGCCAGTGATTTTGAAAATGGTTGGTTGCCATTCTTTTGGAACCGCGACCTTAATCTGTTGGATAACTTAAACGAAGATGATATTGAAGATTGTGCATATAAACTACAAAAAATCTATGCAACATTAAAACAATATAAATTCCAACCTAATCTTTCCCTGAAGCGCTGTCTAACTCACTTCGAGGTTTGTATATATGCACTCAAACCTACATGCACACATATCTTTGGCGATATATATACATATACCATATACCATATACATATATAGGCATTTATAATTGCAGCATTGTCATTCCAATTCCATCTTCCTGAAGTGAAATTTGTATTAAACTACTATTGGAAAATATCTCAAAATATTTTATTTCAGGCTAGGGGCGGATAATTGTGCGATAAGTTATATCAACTTAGTATCTAAGTTTTGAATTTACAGAGTATTTTGAATTTACCTTTACCAGTATAAATTCATATTTATGATAGTTTTATTTAGATATTTTCAGACGCTAGGAAATTATTGGTCAAAATATTATAAATTTTTAATTATATCATTATCCATATCCAAATCTACTTAATCTTGCCATAAATTCTGTTACAAAAATTTACAATGCATACAGTGAAGACAAATTCTCAGAAAAAATTGCCGTTATTTTTTTTTATTGTAATTTGAATACAGTGACTAAACAATAATTGTTTAAAAAGCGCATGTGAGCTTTATGAGCTTCTCAAAAAACTTAATATTTCGATATTGTTTGTTTACCGCACTTTTGAGCATTTTTCCTAAACGTCAACAGTTGATGACAGAAAGAGAAGTGGTCATCCTCGTGTGGTTCGAAATAATTCAGTCACAAGAACTGTTCACGAACGCATACGCAGATATGCCCTTGGAAAACAGAAAATTATGTCAGGGAAATGGATATATCGACCAGATCAATGTCAAAACTTATTCAAGATGATATCCAAATAATGTCTACCATCGGACAACACCTTCAATAATGGTTTGGTAAGGAGTCTTTTGTTAAGGTATTACACCTCTTCGCTTCTGTGAAAAAAGCGGTTAACACTGAGAAAAAGTTTACCAGCCGGATATTATAGAAGACAAGACAAAGCAGTGAAGTAATACCCTATTCGATGGAGAGCATTGAGTCCACCAGCAAGATTCTGCTCCAGCACATAAGGCAAAAACCACCCAGCAATATTTCTGGTTTCATCGCTGCTGATTATTGGCCGTCTGTAAGTCGAGATCCGAATCCATCGCACTACAGTTTGTGGCCAGAGTTGGAGAACATGGCCTGTCGAATATCACACAGAAATTTGGAGAGTTTAAAAAAATCTTTCGTTCGAGCAGCGTCGTCAATAAAAATAGAAACTTTGCGTGCTGTTATTGGTCAATGACTGACTCGTTTGAGGTCTTGCGTGAAATATGACCATTTCGAATAAAAGTTTGTTCATCGCTCATTTAATACAATATATGCATTACTATATAAAATTAACTTTGTTAAAAAATATATTATAGTTAAATTTCTATAACCGCCTAAACTTGTAACTGAACTTATGACAGGACTAAGTATACACATATCTATACATATAAATATTACGTGTCCGGTTTTGTCCGGGGTAAACTTCCAAACTACTGAACACATTTTATATTTATATCAATCACTTTCAAAATTAAACCTCAAGTATTGTACAATCCTCTTGGATTCTTATAACGGCAATAACGTTTTCACCTTTATTCATATATATTATTTTCCACTGTATTAAATAGTTTACTAAAATCATATTTATTGTGTACCATAGTCACTAGTATATTTATATTTCAACGTTTCTTTTTTTTTGTTATTTCTGTAGATTCCATAATGTGTGGTTTTGCTGAGATGACAAAGATAACCTTAATTTTGATATTCTAATAATTACATAACTTAGCATTTAAAAGCACACATATGTACATATTTATATTCATGTGCATATGCATTTATCTTCATATATATGCTTATATCATATGTTTGTAAAACGTGAAGTATTCTTTGAAATAAAATAAATGTTTTATATGAAATATAATTAAATTGTAAGGCATTTTATCTACGGTACTAAACTGGGGAAAATTTATATTGTTTGACATCACCTAACCTTAAAATCATAACAACAGTTATATACTCCAAACAATGGTTAGCTTATTTATTCCCTTTCAAAAAGCGCTATCATGCATTTAAACTCTAATGAATAAATTTAATTATTTGTAACCAAGCACAATCAAAAACGCATTTTCAATCAGAAAAACATTGTTCATATATACATACATATACAAAATAATCTGAAATATGAAGAGGAAACTCCACTTCACTTGGCAGTTGCTAATTTAAATGGTATTATTTTTACAAACCATAGTCTACACTGTAGTAAATCTCTTCCAGCTGCTGGTTTTGATTTAATGTACTGTGATACGAGCAAACACTTTAAAATATAAACTTCCGGAAGGAAATATGCCGGAATTTTAAGAATTATTATGACATTAGAGATGCTTATTTAAGGCATATAGTTATCGACAAAAACTATCGATTATTGTATACAGCTAAGTATAAATAATTATGTATGTATTATTTTATAAATAACTATTTCTAATAAAACATATAAAAAAGAAACATTCGAATAATAATATGCAAAAGGTGACTTTTACAACTGTTGCAGATATGTTACAAATTTCGGGCTGTAAGGGAAGGAATAGATGCGCATAATGCATTAATGTAATCAAAAGCACACATCTGAAAATCACTGCGCGTTATTAAATATTTAAAATGTATTTTCTGTTAACATTTAACATACATATTACGAATTAATAAAATTTATACAATTAATATTGCATTTGTTAAATAAATACACAAATCTAGCACATGGCAGCACGATTTCAAAGTCGCCTATTTTACCGTTTCTACAGACTGTCATTTTAAATTTACCTTTATACGTGTTTAATTACACAATTCGTTGTATTAGTTTTAAATATTTTTCTTAACATTATAAAATAAAATAATTATAAAGAGCGTCTTGAACGCTTTGCAATGACAACCGCCGATAAACATATGCAAAACTTAGCGAAAGCTCTTCTAGTTGAAGAAGAGACAAGAAGCTATCTGGAAAAGGATTTCGAAATAATAAGAGCTTATGTCATAGATATATTGAAAAAAGATCCAATAATCGGCAAAATGCTAATAAATACAAAATATCCTGGTAAATATTTGCAAATTTTGAATATCTTCCTTCCAATTATCACCTTCAATTGCAGCTAGTAACTTTAATTGTTCAGTGGTATTGGATCTATCACACTTTATAACACTTGGTGCAATTAAAACGAAATACCCATCGTTCATACGATTAGTTCAACGTGGACGAAATAGAGTAGATGGCACGGAGAAATTGCCATTCTTTAGTACTGGCGAAAACATTGCTGGTGGTGTCATAACCAATATCGTAAAGGGGCTCTTAAAGCAGGGTTTAGATTTTAGTGGTTATTTTGTGCGTGGTCACTTGGGCGATATTTACGAACTGGATTTGAACGATGAAAATAAAAACGTAAATAACCAGAGTTATGATGGTAGGGACGGTGAATGGCAAAATAATTATATTATGCTAAAAGCGTGTAGCGAAGAGATTACACTGAATATACGTTTACGTGTTTTAATAAAATTTTGCAGCAACGAAAGTCCAAATGATTTATATCCACATCCGACGCACAATTTAAAAATGATTTGGTTAGCCGCTGCCGATGTACGTTATATAGAATACTTTTCACTGTGCGCACTATTAAGTGAGCGTGAATTGGCTTCGTCACCAGACAATTTGATCGCATTGCGTCTATTACACTCACTGATGGTTGGCAGTAAAATATATGCAATTAAGAAAAATCATTTGGAATCAATTACCTATGAATTGATATATACAAAAGCACCTAAAGGTACACATAAACCAAAGGAAACTGTGCTTGATATTTTAATTGCAGTAAGTATCTGTGACTATTTCGGTATATACATCAATTAGTTATTCCCTTTATACCGTCGAAGAACGCAAAATAATTTACAAATCATTTTAGAGTCTACGACGCATATTATATTATTTGGACAAAAATCGCTTTCCGTACTATTGGAACACTAAAGAAAATCTATTGTTTCTCATACGAAATCATGATAGACTATGGCATACACACAGGTGTTTGCGCATATTATTGACTAATATAAGCAGCATGCGTGGCAATACCGGAGTGACATATGAAGATATTGAATCCTTTTTTGGTAGTATCATTCAAAATTACAAATGTTAAAAGTCAAACGTTTCAAAATTTATTTGCAGGTGTACAGACAAACGCATATGTGTACAATGTGGATGATTTTGGTGTTTACAGAAATTTTTCTAACAATGCGTAAATAATTTTACGCTAACATTGAACTTTTGAAACCATAAATATTTAACCTTAGAACTTCGTTTTGATATCAAATATTCTCATTTTTTATAATAATAATGCTGATAAAATGCATTTCTTATTTTTAGTACAGGAAGTATATATTCGTATATATCGTATATATAAATGCCACATTTATGGCTTGGATATGTACCCACATGACTTTATATACGAAAGTGTTTTTCGTACAAGATATTGCTTGTTATTATATGCCAAACACTTTGAATTAATAAATTCATGATTTTCGTTATATAAATTCTACATCTTGTAGCATTTGTTGGTTTTTCATACGATTGGTAATGCTATTTTGCTGGAATTGTAGCTGTATTAATATAAGAACGCTGCTTGCAATGCTATTAACGGTCTACGAAATATGAAAAATATATAAAAACAACAATCAGTTTTATAAAATCGAAACAAAAAACTGCCACATGAGAATTGGTCAATAACGTACCGTATACAGCAAAATAAGATTACAACGCGTCACTTTTCCAACCAAAAGCGAATATGTGTTCTGCATTTGCCAGTGAAGAATGCTTCCACTTACTGCGTTCGCTTTAGAGCGCGTCAAATATTTTCACACTTCCTGGCCTCATGAGTACAATCCGTTGCTGTAAACATCGGTATATACAAACATATATGTATCTTTCGCAATTTATATATTATATTTGATTCATCATAGCTGAACTACTTCCTTCTGCGTTACATATCCATACACCGCATATAGATTCCTTATAAATTCGCGGCAAATAAATAAGAATATGAATAAATATATCTTCGACACTTGTATTTGTTTCCGTTGCTTTTTGACACATTTAGAATGTCATGTTTGTAACACAGCGAATCATGAAACAAACTAATCCCACACACACGCCAAGTACATCGTTTATTTGTAAAATCAGTTGAATATAGCTTTTACAATAAAATTAGGCGCGAATACGCATTTCAAATTTATGCTGTCGCTTCAAATCCACTGCTAAGGCATATGCTGCTTCAATAACCGTTTATTAAACGGTAACGTATGCGTAGCAGATCCATCTTGCCCAAATGCAGAAAGACTGTTAGAACTTGGTGCAATAGTAATGCTCGCATAGCACAGTGCAAACACAAATGTTGTTACAATAACACATTGCAATTCGGACAATTAAAAGATAAATAAACGAAACAGTATAATAGTAAATCATGACAATTAGGTAAATGTTGTAAATTTACGCATTGTTTTATGATTAATTCCATTTAATATAGTTAAAATCGATTTGAAATTTGTGCGTCCAGTCTTTTAAACCGTCGGAGCAACTTTAAATGTTGTATCTGTTTGTATGCATTGTTGTGCAGACGGCGATATATGTCATAGCACTGAGGAAGGATTCCAGTGCGAGTATAAATTTCAAACTGGTGATAAGCGATCGAAAATGGCTTTGGAGCTTCATCATCCGTGTACTTCAGTAGTATGCTACCAAGAAATCCAAACATTAAAGATAATCTTATGGAATGGTGTAAATAATTTGGCTTTCGTTAATTGAAATGATTCGCCTCGTAGTTGAAAGCAAAGACTGCCAGTATAGTATAAGATCGTATAGATCCACTTGAAACAACGGTATATACATGTAAATTCTTTGTTGGCTTTGTGAGGATGTTCATTTTTTAGTTGTACTATGTCTGCAGCACACTTATCAACCTTCGGTAAGAAACCTAACAATTGTATACAAGAGATTAGTTACTATAACTGTGTAAATTGACCTATTCGTGTGAAGTAATTAATTATAATTCAATTAGATCAAAGATATGCGTGTTATTAACTCCTACTATAAATAAACATGTACTGTTTAAGATCTAAATTAACCGTTAATAAATTGGAAGCATACCCATACATGCGCATTGAGATACATAGCTATACACGTACATATGCCTAACATTCCAATTTTCACAATAAAAATAATTTCGGAAACTTCAAATCACATTATACAATACCACATGTTAACTGCTATAACTCAATATGAACACACATAAACAAATGTACTCGTTTAAATAAGTGTTTTGTTTTATTTGTATTTTTGTTAGGTATAACTAAAACTGCTTAGAAGCAAACAGTATTGGCGAATGCAAATTGTACTCTGTTCAACTGCTTATTATGCTTTCTTTTCCTTCTTGTCCAAATGTCCGTTACTATGAGCTGGATTGTGATTGTGATTACTAATAGTGCCACTAGCATTACTATTTGTGTTTCGCAACGTTTTTTGCAAAAACGTACGCGTCCGCAGAGTTCAATTCGTTCTGTAATAATGCTTCTTGGTCTCAAATATTTCGAAAACAAATTTTATAAAACGCAATAAGCACCTTCGTTATTATTTGCACTGCCTTCAAGAAGATAAATAGACAATTAAATTTTTAACTGCATGTTTAAATGTAAATAAATGTGTAGCTCTGAAAGATATGTCGAGTTCCATCCACTTTAGATAGTTGAGAATATGTTGACATCAGTGCCGATACCGAGACGTCGATATGACGACAAACAGCCCAAGTCATATATATAGACGCCGTTGATTCTCGACAGATATCAATGCGGCAGCACACTGCCACCAATACGATATCATTATAGATACTAGTTTGCCAACTCACCAGCTTCAGAACATCTATATAGATTTTTCGTGTACGAGCAGGACGAATACAACAGACGTTGAGCTTTTCAGTTGCTTAATATTATGTGGCGTTACATCGCCAATTCATATTGACCTGTATACATATGAATAGCAAAGGGAATGCTTAGCGATTCTGTTTTTAGGTTAATGTTTACAATGCTTTAGTGAACAAACCTCGTCATTTCAACAGCTATATTAAAGATTTCGATTTCTTTTAGTTAAACTTGTTTAGTTTTATTGTATTCAGTTATGCGATGGAAATTAATCAAAATATACAATAAATCTTAACTCGAGAGTTGAAAAGTTTGAGGGCGCTAGGCGGACGAATCATATCTTCCACTGACAATTGCCGAAACATCTGATGTTTAACAAACGTCAACAGTGGTTAGAATATAAAATTCAAATAAGAATTAAAGCTATTATATAGGTATATGCGCGTCAGTTAATTTGCTGACTTTGGTTAAAATAAAACATTAAAAGTTTTACTTAAGTTGCGCTCCGATAATACAAGAAAACTGTAAGAGGAACAATAGATATTTATATTACTAACTGAGCCTCAAAACCGTGGGTAACTTCATACGATAGTTTGAAAGCCAATGAAATTACATATTACAGTTCATAAACAATTGTCGCGCTTTAAATGTTTATTGGAATTGAGCAAAATTATTAAATGAAATTAATATAAATTAGGCCTACTAGGACCATGTAGATTCGGTAAAACTACTTTGGCACGCGCCTAAGTACTATTGCAAGTACGCGGCATTCGATAAAATCCGCAGTCACAGGAACGTGGAATTACATTAGACTTGGCATTCAGCGCTGTGGTTGTGGAAGACTCGTTAAGAGGAAAGGCCTTTCACCGGATATCGACAAGTGCAGTTCACTTTGTAATCTACCTGGACATTCAAAGCTATAACACATAATTGGAAGTGGACTTATACTCAGTATTGCTGTATTTTGAAAAATCGGTTTATTGAAGGTGCACAAATTATGACTGATTATTGTCTCATTGTAGTATCAGAAGGGATACAAAACACAAACGGCGGAATGTATAGTTATTGGCGAGTTATTACAGCGAAAATTAGGTCATGTTGTAGACAAAATAGACTTATTGGAGAAAACAACACGCGTTTGTAGCAGTTGGAAAATTAAATAGAAACTGCGAAAAACGTTGGAAACAGACAACCTTCGATCCTGCCTCGCATTTTCAATGTATCGGCAGTACGAAATCAATATTGGTGATGGTCAAATACACATTTATAATTCTTATTAATTATACTTTAATGTTCGGTCAGCATCTTTTGAAAGGAATTATCTCGCTAAATTGAGTATCTAATGCAGACAAGAGAATACCTTTGGTATGTTATACGGACCATTGTTTTCTAATTAGGCAATAAGGCACTATGACCAGATACTATAGTACAAGTGTATTGCCGTTAACATCTAGTGGGAAATACCTGTATTAAGGAGCAGCGCAAAGGTGAAGTGCCGCCATATTATGCGAGAGAGATGTTTTCATCTATCTCTATATCATCGACTAGCAATGGCCAGTCGCCTCTTT